CGGAAGGGAAAAGTGGTTGTTAGACAGACTGTGCCGAACGGGGCTGGATACATCGTTTCCAGTATTCCAAGGAGCACAGGACTCACAGAGACAAGCGATTCAGCAGCGTCAACGCTCCAGGTAAAGATACACGTATTTTTTTCCTCAGGTTAATTGAGGATTACCATTTTAGTCTCAGTAAAATATTTCCAACGTTTTAATATCCGCATGGACGTTGTCATTGTATTTATTTTTTCATTAAGCCTAATAATGTAAAGCAACTTCCATTAGTATAGCCATTTATACAGTATATGAAGACTGCGGTATTAGTATCATGATGAAATTTAAATGATCATTATAACCACAATTGAAATGTCATATTTTAGAATAGTAATGTCTTCATGTCCCACGTTATACTCTCTCCGTCAGCAGTCATAATCAATTCACATTTTCGCTCTACCTTGGACTCTTAAAGTCATTATTAGTACTCTTTACTGGTTCTATGACTATTTTCCCGAGGTCTTTTCTCCTTTCGGATGTTATGACACCTCCGAGTTATGGCTGACTGTTGCCTTCCGGGAACTGAGTGAACACTGAGCTTTTAACAGCGAGAAAAAAATGAACGCACTAGGTATTTTCACTGAGAAGTTAATTTTGTTCCACAAAAAAAAAAAAGTTTACGCAAAGTACCCCTTTATATTTATGAAAAGGCCTAAATAGTAAGTTGTCTCAGCAGTTACTACCCCCTCATAATATAGTACTGTACCTTACATTCTACAATGAAAAGCACTTTTACAACAGAACAATTATGTAATAATGTAATACTAAATGTTTTTAAACTTTCCATGGATACTAGAGCGTTTTAGTGACTTCAGCAACGCAGAGCAAGCAGTTCACTGTGAGGTCTAACTGGTTTCGAAATTAGTATATACAGTATTCAAGGTTGTCAAAAGCTTTGAAGATTGTGTTGCGTTTTATGTGTTTTGGAAATTGAAAGATAAATGCTGTATAAACGTGTTGCATTTTGGGTTAGCTTTAAATGTATTCTGTTGCACTGATATCCCACATGTTGACCCAAGTATCCTACTTCTTGGATCCTTCTCTTTAAACTTATTTCATTTCGTAATCTACATTTTTATTGTTTTTTTTTCATAAATTTGCGCGTATGCATAGAAGCTTTGACATTGTATTTCCATCTCCTCTTTCTAGTTTAGATGAGAGACGTTTGCGGATAACGTATTCCTGCAATAATTACATAATTATAGCAAGTGTAAAACAAGGAAAAAGGAAAC